GGGGAGGGTGTGGCTGAGCTCCCGCCCCACCTGCCACAGAAAATCATCTCGTATGCCGTAAGTTGCCAACCTCTGGGTCTAGCCTAACTTCTCCAAATCTGTTATTTTTTCCAAAACCTCAATTTGTAGCTTAAAATTGATCTGCAATCACTTTTAACATCCAGTAGGCTGGCTTCTGGGGTAGGACATCCTTCCCTGGCAAACAACAGATGGCTGAGCTCCCGCCCCACCTGCCACAGAAAATCATCTCGTATGCCGTAAGTTGCCAACCTCTGGGTCTAGCCTAACTTCTCCAAATCTGTTATTTTTTCCAAAACCTCAATTTGTAGCTTAAAATTGATCTGCAATCACTTTTAACATCCAGTAGGCTGGCTTCTGGGGTAGGACATCCTTCCCTGGCAAACAACAGATTTGATCTAATGGACTTCTTCCTTCTCTTACATTTTCTGATTCTTATCAAACATGAGTTCCAGATAACAGGCTAAATTCATCACATATCACATGCAAAATACAGTAAGCATAGGCCACACACACTGAACACAGCCAGTTTGACACTGTGCTGCCATCTGCAATCTAGGCTTGTATGGCATATCTAACAGCAGCAGCCAGGAAACAATTTTGTGACCACTAAAACTGGCACTATGGGTTGATACAGTGCTGCCAGGTTTAAATCCTGGGCTGGCAGGTGTAAGGCTTTTGACTCAGCATGCTAAGTCTCAAGATGGGAAGAATTTTCTACCACCCAGAAAGAACTTCCGCTGGCTGATCAGGAATCCTATGCAGCCCTTCTAGCCAGGCTGATGGTGTTACAATGTGGGGCCTTGCAGAGATAACAAGGCTTAAAGGCAATGTTGGGACACATTCTCCCTTGGCACCGCGGGCACATCTTTGGCACCTTTTCTGGTCCAAACTTTTCTCATGATCCCCAGGGCTCTGCTCCCAAAAGCTACTGTGGCCAACAGAAAAGAACGTTACCCCGTCACACCTAGGAACCAGCGCGCAGCACCAGCAGCTCCTCCTGGCAGCACATCTGCACCGCCCCCAGCGCAGCTGTCAGCGGGACTGCACGACCCCAGCCAGCAGAGGCCATGTCTGAGGGCGGGTTAGGGGTGGGGCAGCTGTGCTGCCAGGAGGAGCTGGAGGCGCAGGGCACTGGCTCCTGGTCACGATGGGGCAACACTACACTCCATTGACCACAGTGGCTCTTGGGAATAGAGCCCTGAGGATCACGATGTCTGTCCATGGACAGAAATGTCCATCTTCACAAAGCTCTAACAAGAATCCCTTCCTTATTTCCACAGTATTGTACTAGTAGGACGCGCATGGAAGAGGGAAAAATCTGTTTGCTCTGGCAGAGCTGTAGGGAGCCTCACGACTAGCGTATAAGAAGAGGGGATGCTGTAAATCAGGACTGTGATGCACAGGCAATGCTTTGTGGGCCCTTGGGACTGTTTTAGCAGGCATGTTGGAGATCTGGATTGAGGTATTTTAGACCAGAACCCTCTAAGGTGGAAGGCTGCGGAACACCTGTTCTCTCTGCTGTTTAGGTATCCATCCTACACTTTAATAAGCAATAACTTTCCTCAAACCCATTTTGAATTTTAACACAGTGGCAGGGGGGAAATGTTAGCTGCATTGGGAGTTGGCTGCTTAACAGTAAAACCCTGCGTTCCCGAAAGTCAGCATGCAAACAGATATCAGGGGAGAGCTGCCAAAATGAAATCCTAGCAACAAGTTATGTAACGAGTCTTAGCTACCTCTTGATCACATCTCATATCATTAAAAAGGATGAAGGAGGAATAAACAACCACTTCAAAGCAGAGAATGGAGGGGCGCAATAGGAAAAGCTTGTTGTCAAGCCTTCTGGAGCAACCACAGTCAGAGTATGGACAAGTGACATTTACAGAATACTTTGTACTTCCTACGATGACTTTCAGCTGAAAATCTCAAATCAATCTTTGCAAAGTGCTAAGTAACATTACACCTGATATCTAGAAAACAGGGGCAGAAGACACTTAACCAAGAGAACACGAGACAATGTCAGAACTGGGAACACAATTCCATTCTCCTCTTGCTCCTCACACAGGGAAGCAGGGTTTGTGTCAGCCAGGTTGGAAAACATCTCTGAGCAGGGATGTTTTCCGTTAAAAGTATTTTTGGGAAAAGCGCGTCTAGATTGGCAGGATGCTTTTCCGCAAAAGCACTTTTTGCGGAAAAGCGTCCGTGGCC